CAATTCAGGATACTTCGATTCTGGAACAAATTTGTAAAATTCAGTAATCTACGTAGACTTATATTACAATAAAAGAGCTTGACCTTGTATCTCTGACAATTCTGACTTTCCAGATGCTTTTTGGGTCATAATTATATTGGAAATGGAGAACTCATCTTATATTAGGTTAATTTCAAATGGATTCAGAAAAAATCAAGAAACGATTTGCGTTTTTATACACTCGTTAAGTTTTTCTTGTTTAATATTGGACATAAATGATAAAATTACGCCACTGTTTATATTCGTTCACGCAGTTTTCGATGAGTCATATTATTCTTAACTTGGACTGTAGTGAAATTTGTTACAACATTGCACTTAGTCTTTCATATTTATTGTCAGTAATTTAACAAACATTTTGAATCACATACGGAACGATAATATATTTTTTTAGCATAATAAAACAAAAATGGAAAGGAAACTCGAGAGTCACAAATAATATTTCAAAGAGGCGCATGTGGCTCGCGAGCCGCATGCAGGATGTCCCCCCCGATATAGAGTGTTAGTTCATTCAGATGGCATTTACAATTGCAAAGTGATTATCAAAAGGACATGAAGTTTATTGCATTGTTCTTAGATCATCTGTGGTTCAAATTCCTCTTCAGAATTGTTCATCAACATTATTGCAAATAAAGCTAATACAATCCTAACCTTCAAAGAAAACGTGTTTAACGTCTTTTGATTATAGATGATGCTATAAAAGATGGTGAATGCGCAAAATGCCTTCACCCGATTGATTATATCAGATTAGTCACAAACATCGCGAATGCAATAGCGCCTTGAAAGGCGAAAGTGCTTCAGAGAAATAATTGCATTATGAAGTCCGAATTTTCTCATAGAATAAACAGCCGATTTATGAACATGTGGACTTTATAACTATCTCCAATCTGAAATGAAATGTTTGTTGCTTACATTATCGAGCAATTATTTCTAGGAAAAATTGGGTTACTGAATAATTTTGTTTCTCTATAATATGCATTGGAATCAATCACAGTGGATCAGGTACATAACTCACTACATTCAAGGCCAAACACTCATTGAAAAATTCAATATTATATAGTTGTGTTATAATATTAAAGAAGAAAGTAATACAAATCATGAAATTATGAAACAACAAAAATTAATTGGCGCTCCGGAACGACTTCATTGATTCCAGTGGCGCATTTGCTTTTTCAGCTGCAGGAAACCCCGGAAAAACCTACAGTACCATATCATCTGAAGATCTTGATCTGCCATAGAATGAAATGTAGGGTGTCTCCAGAAGCTTCAATAAATTCAAGACATCTTGGGGTTAAGTCATACAAACTGCAAATTTTATTGTACATCCAGTCTATTCTCAATCTATTTCGAATAGAATTTGCACAAAAATATCCAAATTTTCATCGTCCAGTAGATACTTATTCTGGCTCCACCAAACGTAGTGAATTTCAGTCTATATTTTCAAATGATTCAATTATGAAGCCATCACCATTCGATTCACAGATGAAGTGTTGAAATATTTTACGTGATACTACATTCTCCAAAATTTGTGATGTCGAGGTATGAACATTCTATAGAGTCCCCAAATAAGTTCAATTGGTTGAAAACCGACTAATTTCTCTATGGATTCGTGCCACGAATAAGATTTTAAATATGTAAAGAAAATGGAAAAATGAAGATATAGCAGCTGTTAACGGATCTATTAGACTAATCATAACTTCTAGAGTAATAAAATGAGATTTGGTCGCTTTCCGTTTCATCGAAGATACCAAGCAACGGTTCAACGTGGATCAGAATGTGACATTGACAGTTTTTTTAACTACTTCATTTTTGAAGTAACTTTTTATATTTCACCTAAGTGTCCATGGTCGGACATAAACCAAAATCTTCAGATGATTCCATAACAAATTGGTAGAATAGCATTATCTTGTCTATTATTTTTCAAATTGTTAATATATTTCAGAATGTTTTTTCTATATACTCTGAAAAGTTGAAGAGTGATTGGGGCTGCTGCATAGTGAATACTTTCATTAACATATTCTCAAACGTTCCCCAATAACAGATACCGTATCGCAGATGGGAATCAATGGGAGCAAAGTACACATTTTTTGCCATAATAGGGTCAGTCAGTTTTATTCCAATGTTCTATCAAAGAATTGTTAACTTTTCTGTCATTCTGAAACACTATATGTCTATTGCCATCTATTGCATACAAATGTTAATAGAATCGATATTTAAAAGCTAGAGATACGTGCTTTTCCATCTACTATTCTAGAAGTTTTGTTATTTGACAGTCGGTATTATAACACATTCTACTTACGAGTAAAGTATTGTCCAGTACAGTATATAGGACTTTCTTTCTCCCCCTGGTGTTCACAATCAATAACAAAACTTATGCTAGGAAACGATTCTGTTGATACAGCAACTTGAGGGAATAACTTCTGAAAAACGGGGTTCATTAACGACGTTGTTAATTGGGAACCAAAACTAATAGAAAATAAGGAAACTTTCTGCTATCCTTGATTTCCATCTTATATCGTTCAATGAAATATTTTTGATACACTCTGCGATATTATATTCATGACTGAGAGTCAAATATCTATTGGTCGATTTAACTTGAGAAAAAGGAAGTTTTCTTGAAGCATAATACTGTTAATGAGTCGTCGTATCATTGTTGTTAGCAAATTACTCTTAAACACGTATTGACGAGTGAACAAGTTTTTGACTTTGTTTGCTCAAAAATTTGTACTAAGAGTTTTTTTACCATGAGCTTAACTCTCAAAACTTGTTACTATCAGTTAACCTACGATTCGGTAGCAAGTAATTCAAATATATTTCTAAACTTCAATACGCTATCAAATGTCAGCTTCTTATATGTCGATAAAATTATTTGTATGAAATCGATACAATCACCATACGATTTTGATGATTATTTACCTATTGAATCAATTAAATACCATTTCACAGTAGGGGAGACCTTGTTACTATATTTTTGAAAATAAATTTTGATTTTTTCGTTTTGGACATGAGTGGTGTTTACTCCACCCTACTGTAGGTTCTGAAGATAAATCATTTTATTCAGAGATGAAACACAATGGGAGTCAAAATAATAAATGCTGTTGTGAAAAATATTTTTGCCAGATGTTAAATTTTGCTTCACTATCTGAAGAAACGAAGAGAAAAGGAATGGGGACGTTTTGTAATAATTGAATTATCAGATGTGAGTATGTGTGGAATCAGAACATCTTGAATAGCGTCTTGGAAGAAACCATATGAATAGTTGCTGAAAATGTGTTGAAGCATCCTCTGGTGGTTACATCCTTTTTTATGGAGATTTCGTATAGAGACTGGTGATTTTCGATTCATTCGAGTAGCTCCAGATTATATTCATTCGGATACTATCCATGATAATAATTGTTGAATTTTCACAATCGAACCTGAAGCGGTGTGGCGCTATTGTCAAGAAAGTGTGATATCAGATTCTCTATTTGTTAATTTTCCACGTTGACAACAACTTGACTATGGTTACAAAGTTTTTCAAACAATTTCTATTAGTTTATGTGAATTTCATAAGAAGTGAACGTCGAAAAGAAGAAGTGAATTGTTCAAGTGCTATTCCTAACAAGATGATATGTACGGAATCAAGAGAACTCTGGCTCGAAACTAAAACTGTTTCTATTGGACGAATTGAATGAAGAAACTGTACAGTAAAATCATGAGATTTTTGGAGAAATAATGAAAACTCTATTTAGAGAAAGGATGGCATCTCGCAAAGATGAGATATGATTTTTTGTTTCGATGAAATTGGACACATTATATTTGGAACAAAGAAAAACAACGATTTCGATAGAAATGAAAGTAGCATAGATCAATCTGATATCAAGATGACGGATTATGCGAGGTATTCATAAGAAAACTGGCACTTTGCTCCCGTTTTAGAAAAAAACAAGAGAAAAATTAGATGGACCCAAAAAATTTCGTTGTATAAAAAAGATTTGGTCAATAATATCACCTCAGTTTGTTGAGGCATATTCACGAGTATCTGCTACTCCTTGTATTCTCTAAAATGACAAAATGGTTTAGACTTTCACGGCTGAGGTTTTCAGTGTCATTGCTTTTTAAGTTTGAAAGCCGTGGATTTTTGAAATTTCTTCTTGACGTTTCGCTGGCGCGAGTGGCTAGCTTCTTCAGAGGTTTAACCATCATGGCTTGCTGTCCGATGACTACCTTTTAGGCTTCTTGAAGCGTATTAATGCCTTGTTAGGTAATCAGTTGTATTTGTACCTCTATTTGTACCTGTATTTGTACCTGTATTTGTACCTGTACTTGTACCTGCACTTGTACCTGAACTCGTACCGGTACTCGTACCTTCACTTGAACCTGAAACAATAACAATCTTGCTTCTAGAATTTCTTAAAATGGGGTTCCATATTCGATTGAGGTTCACCGCTTCTTCTTTTTTGTTGAAATTCTCCGTGTGTTTGTGGATCTCTATTGCCTCCCGTACCAGTCGGCTATGGTATGCCTGATTGGTGGCAATTAGTTCTGTGTTTTCAAACAAAATTATGTGGTCTCCTTCACTAAGTGCGTGTTCTGCCACAGCTGACTTGTCCGTTTGGCCTAGTCTGCAGTTCCTTTTATGCTTTCTCAGTCTTGTTTCCATGGATCGTTTGGTGGTTCCGATATATACCTTTCCACAAGTGCACGGTATGCGATAGACCCCTGCTGCTGATAATGGGTCTCTTTTGTCTTCAGCTGACCTGAAGCTTTGTCATGTTTGCCCAATAACTTTCCAATTCTGTCCGTGAACCTAGGGATAAACGGTAGATATGCGCGTGCAACCATCTGATCCTTTCACGCTTTCTGAACCGTGGTACCCTTCGGTTTCATGGCTTTTCTGGTCTCGGAGGCACTATATCCATTAGATCTCAAGGTTCCTTCAAGATATTTCAGTTTCCTCTCCAGATGTTCTGATTTCGGCGTGTTTTTCTTGAATTTTTGAATACACCACCATGAATCTTCAAAGTCTTCCAAATTCACTACGGTTGTGTATATATTGAATAGACGCAGTCTGTCCAACAAATCCCTGAATATCGACGAATTATAGCCTCATAATGTGCAACTATAGACTGAAAAAAATGGAAACTGCTGAGATTTAAACTCGTTCTGGAAAGGTTGCTACGACGGTTCTAAATGTTGTTGTTGAGATGACTCTGACTGATACTGCACACGTTGATGTATTATTCTGAAATAAATTCGATTTTTTAATAAAAACATACACTGAAATGAATTCGATTTTTTAATAAAAACATACACTAAAAAATTTTTTTTTTGGCAACAGAGAGGGTAATGTCTTTCATAAAGTAATTGCTACACTTATAATGAAAATAAAAAAATCAAGTGTCATTCAAAATAATGAATTTAAAACACATATTCTGCACGTACTAAGTGAAGGAAAAATATTGAAAACACTACTTTATGCAGATCATATCCATGAATGAGAATTTTTGACCCGAATGAAAAATATTGTATACACCCAAAAACTCTTTGCCTATAAAACAAAGAAAAAATTGGAAACAATACTAACCTTAATTTTGTACAATCTCAAATGAAACGACAAGATTCGGTTTCCCAATGTCCATTAACCCTTTGAACACAATAGCGTATTTTCCTAATGAAAATTCTTCCAAGTGAGGACGATACGCCTCCGTCACTCGGTGGGGTAGAAATGAAACTTTATCTCCCAAATCCAACAAGACCGCCTCACCAAATTTTCCTTTCACGATTTTGGCAGTGAATATCTTCTGCGGCATCTCCACAGGCAAATCTGCTACTTTGATACTTGGCTTTCTCTTCACAATCGAACTTGCATTCAACTTTTGTAAATCCATCTGCGAAAAATAAAAAATGAAAGCTTTATGTTTTGATCCACAATATATGCGAATACTATCTCAAACAAACCACGACATGTAAAACATTCGACTGAAATCATCCAACATATATATATCGAGAAAAATTTTGGAAATCAAAGATTCAACAATTCTCACCAATTTTCAATTAAATTACATTTGAATAAATTCATCTGAGGAAAAAGTCAAACCTAAAACACTTACTTTCAAATAGAAATCGGTGCACTTGTCACTGGTATCACTTTCAACGGATGCAACTAACTCATTTCGCCATGCATGACGTATTTATAGTAAAATAAGTGATGACATATTTTAAAATGAAACAAAGGGCCTTTGTTTCGTCGCTTTTAGAACTGCATATCTCCGGATGCAGATTCGGCATTGGCAGTGATCAATGTCACCTTGGGTTTGAATATAAAAATTAGTGATGACATATTCTGAAATGAAACAAAAGAAAATCAAAGAGTCTTTGTTAGATGCCTATTCAGCGTTGACGTTGATCCATGTCACCTTGGATATGAATAGCGCAACAAACACATGAATTCTACTTTTTTTTCCCCCATTTTATTTGAAGTACTACATGTGATGATGCGACTATTATTAGTGAAGATACAACTTTGTGCCCTCTTGGCATTGTCTCCGTTTTTTTTCTCTGTCGATGAATTCTGCATTCATTTCCCTTTCATTTGATGTGCTGCACGTTGTGATCCAACTATCATTAACGAAGATGTTGCTTAGTGTCATTCTGACATACTGCGCCATATTTATTTTTTCTCTGTCGATGAATTTTGCATTTCTTTCTCTTTCATTTGACGTGCTGTACGTGACGATTCGACAATTATTAACGAAAATGTGGCTTTGTGCCCTTCTGACATGTTGCGCCAGATTTGTTTTTTCTTTATATATGAATTCTGCAATTCTTCTTCTTTCATTTGACATGATGTACGTGACGATCCGAAGTTTTTTCAATGATTCTCTTTGCAATTCTTCCTATGCTGTTTCACATTAGGCGCTCGATATTATATTTTTTAAAGTCTACATATTAAATCATTTGAAATGAGTACCCACACCGACCTGTTGCGACTAGTATAGCGAAAATAGGTTATGAGGTCCCTTTGGCTTCGTAAAATGATAAACCATGTTTTTTGACATCTAAACGAATCCATTGATGTCAAAATCATCGGAATCGGACGACCAGAAGTAAAAACCGGAAGTGACCTGTTTTTGACGGATTCGAAACCTTCTCACCCTAAGGAATCCAAAAATACCATATTCATCTGTCGATGAATTCTCCATTCCTTATCCTTTCATTTGACGTGCTGTATGCGACGATCCGATCATTATTAGTGAATATACAACTCAGTGCCCTTCTGACAGTTGCGCTATTATTCTTTGTAATAACTCATTCATTGTCACACACGCCACCACCTATCAAGCTGACTACGTCACTTTCAAGCTTTTAATATCTTATCACTATTATTATTATTATTCGACCCTCATTCTCCAGCTCAATTTCATCTAGCACAATCAATCGAGCGATATTTGATTTCTCCATTCTGATTGGCTGACCGACACTACTCTGTAACAGAAGTTAGGTTGGGTGTTCCACAAGGTTCCGTTCAAGAGTCTGAAAATTCGCAAAATGAATCTTCATATGACAAAGCATAAAAATGACTGTCATATTCGCAAGAAGGCCTGAACGGTGATGCGGAGTTCCAAGGGGGCCGAGTTCCACGCTTGAATCGCTACGATACTCGTTCCTTCCTGCGTCGATGACGTCACACGTTTCTCTCTTCCACTCACTAAAGTTTATCTCCGAAATACTTACCAGCGACGCTCGACCTTGAATTGCGCCAGAACCCGCCTTGTTCATCTACTGGTTTGATTTTCCCGCTCTATGCGTGATAGCTGATTGGTTGACTGAATGACGGTAAAAGTGGAAAAATGGAGGTGGTCTGAAGTGGGCTTTGAAGACTAAGGCTCAGTTTACACATAATGGACGTCTGGTAGAGACGAGGCGCTGACCTTTACTCCTTTCGTGTGAAGTGGGCCTCCATAAGAAAATACATGGGATTTTGAGCCAGAACTCCTATAGCTCTATTACTATTGTGATAGCATTGAAATATTGTTTGTGAAAACAATAGACAAGGCAATAAATATACTCTGGTGAGAGTTTGATGGAGCATGTCCCGGTGAGAGGACAGGAAACCACTGAACCCCAAGGAAGGTTCCTGAATGCTTGTGATAGCATTGAAATATTGTTTATGATAACAATAGACAAAGCAATAAATATACTCTAGTGACAGTTTGATGGAGCATGTCCCGGTGAGAGAACAGGAAAACACTGAAACCCAAGGTAGGTTCCTAAATGCTTGTGATAGCATTGAAATATTGTTTGTGATAACAATAGACGAGGAAATATTAGGATTGTAATTAAGTATCTGTGTGAAGATAATTTTTTAGACACATATCTAAGTCCTTTTTTTTCACGGTGAGATGAAAAATTACCATAACTATTATCTGTGTGAGGATAATTATTGGGATAAATATAATGTTTTTCTCTTTCCTTTCAATTTAGGTGAGATGATCGGGTATCCTAAAGAATGGCTTGGGGCTCCTCAGCAAATATACTCCTCCAGAAAATTGTAACTTACTAGCTGCGCCAAAATTGAATTATTTGATTGTCGCAGCCGTATCTGAACCTGTGGCTCGCCGAGATTCTCGGCTGGCAAGCCTACAAAATCAAATTGGTGCAAGCCTTGCTGGAATGTGCGGGGTCTTAACATCCATGCTAAAAAGGGAGGGGGGAATAGCAGATTCATTCAGGCCCGAAGCGATGCCTCTCGACTTCTCGCAGATCTTCATAAGCAAGAGATAGTATCGCGAAGGGAATTGTCTTTATTCAACTTGAACAAAAACCAGAAGGAAACGCTGAGTGGTGCTCCAATAGATGGTTGGCTCTTCGAGGAATGTCTGGAAGAAAGAGTGAAAGCTTCTAAATGCCTAGAAAGGTGCAGCCAAGACTTGAAGGTGACTAAGGTGAAGACGGTAAAAAAAATGCAGCAAATACCTTGATAAAGTCTTTAAACCGACGCAGTCCACCCAGGCAATTTCAGAGTGGTTGTCAGGGTGGACGCAAAAATCAACAGCTCCTCAAGGATATCACCAAAGAGGAGAGAAGAGGTTTCAGAGAACAGATCAGAGAGCGAAGTCAGACAGATACCAGCAGTGAGTGATGTTAGTAAATCAGCAGGCAGATTGAAAGATTTTGTGGCTATCTGGCGATGTATAACTCCAGATAAGAAAGTGCTTTCTTGGTTAGAGGGCCTAAAGTTGCCATTTGATATATTACTCATTCAAGTGTTTGCCCCAAAAGAGCCCAAATGATCAGGAGCTGAAGCAACAAATATTAATATTGCTTTACAAAAATTGCTGGTAAGTGGCGCTGTTAGTGAAGCTCTTCCTTGCAGAGACCAATATATTTCAAATATATTTTCAACACCAAAACCAGATAGTTCTCAACGGTTGATTTTGAACCTCAAATACTTGAATGAGTTCATTCTAACTGATCATTTCAAAATGGACGATCATAAAATGGTTACCAGATTCATCAGGTTAGGATGATTCATGGCAACTGTGGATTTGGAAGATGCATACCACCTTGTCCCAATACATCACTCTCATAAAAATATTTGAGGTTTAGATTCAATGGTATCATATATAAGTACAACTGCTTACCGTTTGGCCTCAGTTGTTCGCCACTGGTCTTTACAAAATTGACCGAACCGGTTATTACTTTCCTTAGGGGAGAGGGATGGATTTCAGTAGTATATTCGTATATTCAGATGATTTTCTCTTGATGGGAGATTCTTTCGAAAAATGTCAGGAAAATGTGTCGGTGACCATTCAGTTTTTAGAGCAACTTGGCTGTATAATAAATTACTCCAAGAGTCAAATACATCCACAACAGCAGTGTAAATATCTCGATTTTAATTACAATTCGGTCAACATTAGTCGGTCTAATAAATTAATTTCTAACCCGAAGCAGATGTCAAATCAGAGATTTTGCGAAATTTAATGGCCACTTGATTACTGCATGTCCAGCTATCCTACGCTATTCGTGGTTCATGCCTTCAAAAAATGGAGAGGTAGCTACAGCTTCAGTATGATAATAGCCTAAAGGCTGAATCGTGGTTTTCAATGGTGGGAAAAATCTGTGCAGTATGTCATTAATTCTATAGGACCGTTTAAATTTGTACGAAAAATTTTTTATGACGCCTCTACTACGAGTTGGGGAATATTTTGCGAAGGCGAAAGAGCCTATGGACTATGGAACGAAAAAGAGGAGAAGTTTCATATAAATATTCTCGAACTGTTAGCGGCATTTTTTGGTTTGAAAAACTTTGCTCAGATTTGTCCAATGTAGAAGTTTTGTGTCGCATTGACAATACCATGGCGATACCATGCATCAATCGTATAGGAAGTGTTCAACACGAACAGAATTTTCTTACCCGAGAAATATGGCAGTCGTGCGAAGGGAAAACTTTGAAGCGGACGAAGAATCCCGTAAGCTAGAAAATAAAACAGAATTGGAAATTAATAGTTAGGCATTTCAAAAGATAACACTTAGCATGGGACAACCGGAAATAGACCTATTTGCCGCCAGACATAATGAGAAATGTAAAAAATGTGTATCATTGTGTAGAGACCTTGAATGTTGGGCCGTAGAGGTCTTTACGTTGAACTGGAGCAATCTCCTTCTCTATGCATTTCCATCTTTCTGATGATATTAACAAATGTTCAAAAAATCAAGAGAAGACAAAGACAAAGCTGAGGGTATATTTGTGGTTCCTAAATGGATTTCTCAACCATGGTACCCTGTTTTCATCTCATTATTATTTAGTGAACCAGCTTATTTCGAACCAAATCAAACCATTTTTCTCTCTCTCAACAGCAATCCCTATCCAATGTGGAAAAAAAAATTCCATGGTTGCAGGAATCTTATCTTGCTAACGTTAGAGCTAGGGAACGTCCCTGGATAGTTGTTTGGCATCCATAAATAATTCAACATTGAAACAGTATAATGCTGGATTCATCATGGTGAATTTTTTGTAAGAGATTTTTCAGGGGCGTTTTCAGTCTACGACCAAGCACACCCAGACATAATATCACCTGGGACCCGGCTATAGTCTTGAACTATGTTAGAAACACAGCCTGGAAATGCTAACGCACAAACTGGCCGTATTATTAGCCCTTGCCACATAGAGGTTTGCAATATCATCAGAACAAGCGACGTTCATTACGACGTAAAATACCTAAAAGGATATAAACTTCAGGCCCCAGAAAACTTTAACCTACTCTAGTGTTACCCTTTTTCAAGGAAGACCCGAGAGTATGCGCATCAAGTACCTTATTGGAATATTTAGCGAAGACGAAGGAATTGCGCAGTACCTCATCGGACCACCTCTTTATCACATACAAAAAGCCTTAGCATTCTGCTTCATCTCAAACCATCAGCAGATGGATGAAGGCAATTCTAGAAAGAAGTGCTTCATATTTTGTTCATAATTTAGTGTAAAAATATTTCTTTTTGAGTTAAGTTTCTTTACTAATTGTCATTAGATAATGAAAGTTGCTAGTTGCATCGTGCTTCCAACATTTACAATTCCTCTCATTTATGAGACGAGGCCGAAATATAAGATCAAATATAAGATCAAAGATAAGATCAAACGAACTTACCTGAGTGAAGTTCGATCTTAATTATATGAGGGCCTCATCGAAATAAAAAAGAACCCACCCAGAAGACCCATTTCTAATACCCCCCGAGATGCAACAAAAAATCAACTTTAAAGAAGAATGAGTCGGACTGGGCATGAATCGGTATTGCCGGAGATGGAAAAGGACAGCGTTTGTCGTCTAGCTTCAAAAATGTGTGGTTCAGGATGTAAGCGAGGGTACTACAATTACTCTTATTTATTTCGATGAGGCCCTCATATAATTAAGATCGAACTTCACTCAGGTAAGTTCGTTTGATCTTATAATCTTGTTTGAAAACACAGAACTAATTGCCCCCAACCAGGGATACCATAGCCGACTGGTCCGGGAGGCAATAGAGATCCACAAACACACGGATAATTTCAACAGAAAAAGAGAAGCGGTGAACCTCAATCGAAAATGGAACCCCATTTTGAGGACTGGGCATGAATCGGTATTGCCGGAGATGGAAAAGGACAGCGTTTGTCGTCTAGCTTCAAAAATGTGTGGTTCAGGATGTAAGCGAGGGTACTACAATTACTCTTATTTATTTCGATGAGGCCCTCATATAATTAAGATCGAACTTCACTCAGGTAAGTTCGTTTGATCTTATAATCTTGTTTGAAAACACAGAACTAATTGCCCCCAACCAGGGATACCATAGCCGACTGGTCCGGGAGGCAATAGAGATCCACAAACACACGGAGAATTCCAACAGAAAAAAAGAAGCGGTGAACCTCAATCGAAAATGGAACCCCATTTTAAGGAATTCTAGAATAACGAACAGGACAACAAGCAGCAAGATTGTTGATGTTCCAGGTTCAAGTGTAGGTACGAGTACAGGTACAAGTTCAGGTACAAGTACAGGTACAAATACAGGTACAAATACAAGTGATTAGTTGACAAGGCATAAATACGTTTTAAGAAGCCTAAAAGGTAGTCATCGGACAGCAAGCCATGATGGTTAAACCTCTGAAGAAACTAGCCACTCGCGCCAGCGAAACGTCAGGAAGAAATTCCAATCCACGGTTCTCAAACTCAAAAAGCAATGACACTGGAAGACTTTTTAAAATCCCAATCATTTGTGACGGCGAAACGGTGAGAAATTTTGAAAAGGTGTCAAAAAAATGAATAAATACTATTTGTGTTTGGGTGTTTTCAGCGATTTCTTTGTTTCAAATGTTTGATCTTCAATGTCAAATCAAATATAGTTCAATTATATTTTTTTGTGTTCAAGTTTGAAATTTGTTTTTCTGTACCTATATAATTTCATACGATGCAACGGAAATAAACAAATATCACAAATTCTTTGAAATGTAATCTTAACAAATTTATAGACGGATGCATCATGGAACTCCATTTGTGGTCTCAATCGTAATTGAAATTTCTGTTTTTGTTCAGAATTCAAGGAGTCGCCTTTTTGGAATAATCTTATTCAATGTTAGAACATTTTCAGGCTTCAATAATTTAGTACAGGTTTGATTGAAGCTGATGTTGAAAGTTACGTATCTTTGTCACTGATGAAAGCAAGTACTGAATAATCAATCCAATTTGAAACTTCACGTTTACTTTATCTATGCCCTTCTGTTTTAACGATTCGTTACTCATTATGAAGCGACAATATAAAAACTCCTTTTATTCGGCCCCTATGTTTGTTTACATAAGAGAAACTGTAATTAAAAGAAGTTTGCGTCATCGTCTCTACAGACAGCAAAGGAGTGGCGCTCCATTATTTTCGCCTTCTACAAATTGACGGGGAATGATACAAGGAAATAGGGTCTGTCATAATGTATCACTTCCGTTGAAGTCGCTTATCGACCTGAATGATTGATAATCTCTAGGGAGTGGTGAAATCAGGAAAAGATTTTAATTGCGACAGAATATTTGAAGAAAATGCTCGAAACACAATAATATCAATAACCTCAATAACTACCATTTTCATACCGTTATCATCAATGATTTATGCATCAGACGTATACTTATTGATGTTTTCTGTGAATTGGTTGCTGGCTGAAATATGAAGATGTTATCTGCCAGTGAATGCTAGCTTAGCTCTTCGGAATGTAACAAAACAATCTCCTATATATTTTATTTCTTCAATAGGAACATGGCCTGCTTACGAGTCCGGAACTTGACTAGTTGAGTATTCGCTAATATACATGGAAAGAAAGGAAATTTCAATATCTTTCTGAATTTGTATAATCTTTCGACCAAAAAAATCTGTTTTTTTACCACCCTGTATTGAAGTAACGCTGAAGTGTCGCAAGCCTCCAAGTATCACCCAACTTCCTAACCAAATTTCGGTACCATGGTATTCCACAACTCAAAAATATCAGCATTTTTAGAGGTCCTGATTTCCGAAAAAAAAAAATTGAAATTAATTCATATTTCGAAAACGACAACAGATAGGTATAAGGAAATATCGAGATTAATTGTCAGATAATTGTTGTACATTCCAAATATAATATTATATGCTGGGTGGTTCGTTTGAAAATTCAAAGTTGCTACTACTTTCAAATGGAAATGGAACACTGCATTGTCGAAAAATATTTTAGTGGGATGGAGAGTGTCCGAATATGCTGTCCATTGAATTTCAAAAGTGAACCGTACACCTCCGCCTTGGACAGTAAAGCTGCCAGATTGTAACAAATCATTAATTCGTTTCAATAAAACCGAAACAAACCAAACAGTCATCAAGAAAAACTTCCATCAAATAATGAGTCACTTCCAAGAATATAATCACATATACACAGATGCTTCAAAAACAGAAAATGGAACTGCCGCAGCTTTTACCACCGCGTCTGGATATAACTCATGCCACAAGCTCTCTAAGGCCTCCTCAGTTTTCTCGGGAGAACTAACTGCCATCCTCAAAGCTTTAGAATATACAAGGTCCCACGACAATGGAAAAACAGTTATCATTACAGATTCCCTCAGCGCAATGACCGCAATATCTCAACTCTATCCCTCACATCCGATCCTCATCCTTATTAAAAAAGAACTCCATCATCTTCAACAACAGAATAAAACGACTCACTTCGTATGGGTACCATCACACATGGATATAAAGGGAAACGAAATAGCCGATCGATTAGCTAGAGATGCAACTGATATTGACGAACTTCACACAATAACCAGAACTGCCAAATCTGACCTCAAACAAATATTCAAAGAGATGATTATCAATGCGTGGCAAGCTGAATGGAACCTCTCCAAATCGAAATTGGCCGAAGTAAAAAAGACCGTACTCCCTCGAAAAATATATTCCTTGGAAAGAAAACAACAAACCATAGTCACTAGACTACGCCTTGGACACACCCGCATCACACACTCCCACCTGATCGATAAAACTCAAGAACCAACCTGCGAAATATGCCACTGCCCCCTAACAGTGAAACATATTTTAATCGAGTGTGAAGCTTACAATCGACATCGAAAACTACATGGATTTCCGTCAACTCTTGCCGAACTCCTGAAGGAAGGTTGCAATCCATCCCAGCTTATAGATTATCTAACTGATATTGGTTTAGTCAATGAAATTTAGATTATATTAGATTAACTGTATATATTATTTACATTTTTATATTTATTATGACATGTAATATGCCGTCTCTAATAACCTGAATGGTTGAAGGGACAATAAACAACTTAAAATAAAAAAAAAAAAAAAAAAGTGAACCGTTGTCTAGTTCATCAGATACGTTTGATGTGCCATCCACCGTGATTTAGCCTGTATAACATGTATAAAGTGATCTCACAATCCGATGGGTTGTTTTGAGGTAGATAGGTATTTGCCTTCAAAAAGGAATAAAGGTCTAGGCTATTATGCATTGCCAGAATATTCAGTAATTTTCAATATAAAACATCTATTGGTGAAAGACATTGAAGATACGAGGTGTTTCCTGAATGCGGTACGAATCTTCAGAAGATGATTTACTGAGCTGTTTGTGAAATACACAGCGTTGTGTAAAAACAAACAGCTATAAAAACAGGCCGACTGAAAATCAGTGGACCTAAAAATTTCAATCAAGTAAGGAATGAATAAGCTCTTCATTATTTCGAATAATCTCACCAAATTTCAATTTTCCATAGATACCATTTTTTTCTACTTCAATGCCCTGTATCTCAGAAAGTGAGATGTTCAAAGAAACTTTATTCCCAAAAATATCTAACGGATCACTCTCCTAAGTTTTCTGGTGAAGAAACACCATGTATATTTTGAAAATTGGGAATTTTTTGAAATCATGAAATTATGAAACAACAAAAATCAATTGCCGCTCCGGGGCGACTTCATTGATTCCAGTGGCATATTTGCTTTTTAAGCTACAGGAAAACCCGGAAAAACCTGCAGCACCACATCATCTGAAGATCTTGATCTGCCAATATCCTCTCTTTCATAAAACAAAATGTGGGGTGTCTCTAGAGGCTCCAATAAATTGAAAACATCGTCAGAACACTTCGTGACACAACTATCGTCAAACTTAAACCAGTTCGTTTCGTCTTTGACCAATGCGTAATAATGACCTGATTCAACGCCAAAACCACAGTGTTGAATGACTGCATGAAGGTTATAATAGTGGTCTGCTAGATTGAAGTATTCATCTATTTAGAACTGTTGTAAGAGTTTGGTGCATCCGTCAGAGGTTGAGTCATGTTTGAAGATCATCAGTGTTATTATTCATTAGGTTGACTGGTGCCTCAGCTATACTTGTTTCCTCATAACAGTCAGTTAGTTTGGCGCATATTTGGCCATACAGTCGATCATCATCTGTTAAAAGTTTCATTTTCAGATGATTTAATAATAAGCTTTGCACGGACTGGTTATTAGTCATATTATGAAACGCTAGTTGAAGTTCCAGAAATTCATATACGTGTTGAACATTTACTACTACTACGTTTGACTAATATATTCACTACTACAATGCAAACATGGATTATAATAGATCATTTGTAAATATTGTATTTCTGGATTTTTAATGTTTATCGATGAATTTTTTTGAGCGATTAGTGTAACCATATAAACATTTTCTGTTCATAATAGTAATCATAGATACATAAAAGACTTACTGTATCATTTTCGAAAACATAACTGCTCCAAATTGATTTCTTATGCTATTTCTACCAAAAGGTAGAAGTTAAAATTGAAATGAAAAATTGAGTGATCAATTTCCTGTATGATTTTCATAGTATTTCATGCATATACATTGATCTTATAGTAATTTCGATGTTGATTACTTCTCCTCTCATTCTTTTGAACTTTGCACTACACATTTCTTTCATTATCGTGGATGAAGTGTGATGCAGGGCTATAAAGTTAATCAATTATTAGAGAACTTAGGTCCTGAAGTCATCCAATAAAGAAAAAGCTCGTGCCCGTCTACCAGCTCCTCTGATGATATATTTTTCAGAAGACGTGGTCGTTATCCCGTACGTTTTATTAGTTTTTACAACCTGTCTCAAGAACTAACAGCATTCTTCCCAAATGAAATGGAATATTACTTTGAGTATCTAAATAATTGATGAAAAGACCTGGAGGGTAAAAGCTCTTTTGTTTTATTTGTTTCCTGATATGTCCCGTGTCCAAGTTTGTGAGTTATATATAATGCTGCTGTGAGAAAATTTATGGTTTATGGTTTTTGTACACGATGAACTGGATTAGACTGGACGTGTTAGAGTCTGCTTTGTTCAGCAGATCATAGCGTAAAATTTATTGTGCACAGCTTAAGTTGTTCGCTTTTCAAGTAGTCACGCAAATCTTCATTATGTATGTTAGATAATCATACGGTGAATAGTTATTCAGCATGAATGACTCAATGGAGAAAACGCGACAAAAAATATCCTGGGTTGGAATTTGAAAATTACAATCTCCTCAAAACTTATTCTATGCGAACTTGTTATTTCAGAAACAAATTTATTCAACCCCTTTCAGGAGACGGTGTCATAAATAAATCGTTTCGGTTAGTTCCAAAGACCCAGAACTGTCCTCGATAAATTTTCGAAGAAGAATCATATGAATATTCCGAGGAGAGTATGGAAATATTAGGTATTTAGTAATGGAAAGTGGTGGTCCTCTTGGAATCTTTTGTAGTTTTCAACACTTCTTGGTACTTTGTGGAGAAGACCTAGTTCTTCCAGTTCTTCCAACGTTTCGGCAGAGTCTCATTTGCCTTCTTCTGTTGATGTCTGGAGTATTTCAACTAGACTGATTAGTGTGAACTCTGTGTCTCAATTCATAGGGACGGATGTTCCCATTTACCTGTGTTCCTGTCACTACCTGTGTTTGAATATATTTGATTATTAATATATGTTACAAAAAGGATTTGAAGCTTTATAACTCCTTTTCAATTATATGCTAGCGCTTCTGACAGCTGTTCATCATCAAGGTTTGTAGAGCCTTGATGATGATAGCACGATCAGCTGTCGAAAGCGCTCGCATATAATTAAATAGGAGTTATGGAGCTTGAAATCTTTTATGTAACATATATTATTATTAAAATACTGAGACTAAAGGAATATTAGTTGTATCATTCAAATGAATAAAAGGTTTTCTTATTCGAAGTTCATTGTAGAAAACGCTCAGAGCAATGGAAATGGAATTTTTTCTTTTGTGTAATTCAATGTTTACATGAAAGTAGCTGTTTCAGGAGGACTTCCTTTCAGTTTGTGTCTGAAAGTTACTTCTTTGCATGATCTACATACACATCCATGTATAGAAATACTTATTTTCAAATTGATTACTTCGTTTCATCCTTTGGAAGGATCCCTTTTTTTGTATCAAGATGGAGTAGTAGAAACCCAAAAACTTTTTTTCCCAAACATTAATCACTTCTTAAAATATAACCCCTCCAATTAAAATAAAATTATTACTAAAGGCTTTCAAATCAATAATAACGACAAGTTGGATAGACATCTTGTACAGTCTGACAATATCACAATTGGGGCTGATCCACTTTAAAAATTTGAATGTAAAAATAGCTTTTAGAACCATATAAATTATTTTCAGAACTTAAGGATAAAGCTCCTATACCTCAAATAATCTATTCCATTACATGTTTACATTGTAGTAGTGAATATATTGGTCGAACGTAGTGATAGTAAATGTTCAAGAGTTTCTGGAACTTCAATTAGAGTTTCCTGATATGACTAATAACCAGTCCGTGCAAAGTCATAAGAAAAACAAGTATAACTGAGGTACCAATAAACAAAATAATAACACTGATCTTCAAACATGACTCAACCTCTGACGGAAGCACCAAACTCTTACGAAGGTTCAATCTAGCAGACCACTATCATAATCTCCATGCAGTCATTGTTCATTGTGGTTTTGGCGTTGAATCTGGTCATAATTATGCCTTGTTCAAAGACGAAACGAATTTGTTTAAATTCGACGATAGTCGTGTCACAAGTGTTCTGTCGATGATGATGATCGACTGTATGGCCAAATATGCGCAGAACTAACTGACTGTTATGAGGAAACAAGTATAGCTGAGGCACCAGTCAACCTAATGAATAATAACACTGATGATCTTCAAACATGACTCAACTTCTGATGGATGCACCAAACTCTTACAACAGTTCTAAATAGATGAATACTTCAATCTAGCAGACCACTATTATAACCTTCATGCAGTCATTCAACACTGTGGTTTTGGCGTTGAATCAGGTCATTATTACGCATTGGTCAAAGACGAAACGGACTGGTTTAAGTTTGACGATAGTTGTGTCACGAAGTGTTCTGACGATGTTTTCAATTTATTGGAGCCTCTAGAGACACCCTACATTTTGTTTTATGAAAGAGGACATTGGCGGTTCAAGATCTTCAGATGATGTGGTGCTGTAGGTTTTTCCGGCTTTTCCTGCAGCTGAAAAAGCAAATGCGCCACTGGAATCAATGAAGTCGCCCCGGAGCGCCTTTCAATTTCTGTTGTTGTTTTATAATTTCATGTATTTTGGAAGTGTTACTCAAGATGATAGTAGATTACATCCTGAGAGATATGCTATCAGTAATCATGTGTCATAAAATGGACTATAATTCAACTGAAATTTTATCAATTGAAAGAAATACATCTGAAAGATTATGACTAACTTCTTTTGGCCTGAATATTTTCAACACGATGGCGCTCATGCCACATTGGATAGTCTGCATAAGAGATTTGGGGGCATGGCCATCTCACGTGGAGGTGATGTGAATTGGCCACTGAGATCGTGCTATTTGACCTCGTTAGATTTTTTCTTGTGGGGTTCTCTCAAGTTGCAGTTGTATGCGAAAAAACAACAAACCACAGCGCTCCTCAAAACCGACATAACCCATGTCATATGTTAAATTCAGCTTGATTTATGCGCCAGAGTCATGAAAATATGAACGTTTCGGATACGCTCATTCCAGAGAAGCCGTGGCGGATATATGAACGATGTTATATTCCACACATAATGGCATCGATAGGTCTTCCAAACGAATGAAAAATTTCGATCATATCTCACACACACACTGTGTTTCAAAGATAGGCAGCCCCTAATGAAAGCCCTCATACAATTCAAAAAAGT